TCTTTGTTGACTTTATAATAAATTTGAATATTGCAAATAAAATAAATACCATCATTTACTGGGTCTATAATAGTTTCACTATATGTATCATCGATACTAATTGTATCTTCAACATAAGACGATGATGCTAAAACAATTAATCAAATATATGTGTTACACAACTTTAATATTAATGATGACAATTATCTAGGTAAAGTGAAAGGTGATGAGGATGATGACTAACTTTCTGTTATGGAATCTACCATCATCGAATTTAAAGTCTCGTCCACTTTTTTTTGTTTATAATCTAATTATTTTTTAAATGTTAAAATAGTATTAACGATAATCATAATAATATAATATAATAAATAATATGTATTTTTTTATTAAAATAATGACAATACCGGTTTGAGGACCAACTTTAATTGTTTTAAATGATGATTCAACTTCTAATAAACTCTTCTCGTCGGCTACGTTTTTATTTTGATAACATCAAATTCAAACCAATCGATTAATAAATAATATATATGTATTTAAAAATTATACGCAAATAGAAAAAATTTAAATTATTACTTGATTGTGTAAAATCTTCGGGTGTTGGTATTGGTGTTTGAGATTTTAAAAGGTCAGGATTTATAAATTCTTTTTTTTTAAATTGCATGGATATAAATTAATGATAGCACAGAATTATTTTTTTTTTTATTAAAAAAAATAATCAAAAATAATGTTATACGTACATACCAGTTACATTAATACCAAATGGATGCGGAGGTTTTTCTATTAGTCAGACAAATCAATTTTTTATATTTATTAAAAAAGAAAAAATCAAAACTAGTTGCTATCGTTAGAATAATAACGAATGGAAATACCATAAGGTTCATGCTTATATTCAGGAAACAGATTCAATAGTAACCCGAAAATTGCAGAATAAAAATTGTCATCGTGATTATAATAACAAAAATTTTCTCCAATAAAATTTTCAACTTTTTCAACTATCTCACTTGATGAAATTTGATCTCCGTCTCCACCAATGATTTCATTAACATCCTTATTGATTATTGACATAAATATAGCCTTGGAAATTCCATTATCAAAAATTTTTTTCATTATTTCAGGTAATTTAGTAGCTATCTTTCTTAATAAGTCAAAACTTATGATTTGATCTTCTTTACTGCAAATATATGAGGTATATATGAAAAATTAAGATTGTGAATTAATTAATTATAATAATTTCTAATTTAATAAATATTTGCATACCTCATGATTTTAAAGCTACTTATATATGGCCTAATTATTTCATCTTGTGTGAAAAGCTATAAATATATAATATATATATATATATATTTAGTATAAATCTATACTAGAAATTAATATTTTCATCTAGCATTTGTTAAGTCTTACCACAGTAATTTTAGGCATATTTTCCTCAAAATCATGATTAATCATATAAGTTATACAAATACTAGCTTGATGTAAAACGACGTCTTTTTCATTATTTAAAAATATTGCTATACCCATGTATATATAGACTGCGAATTTGATTCATTATTCTACATTTACAGAAGAGCAAATCAAACCTTGGTCAAAAATGATTTTACAATACTTGAGAAGAAACAATAAATGTGTCGATCAACTCTATTCTAAATACTCGACTAAAAATTTTATGAAGGCTAGTTTTTTTGTCAGAGACTGGGTGACGAGACATGATAGACAACTACAGCTGCAACAACAACAACAACAGCGATCTTCATCTTCAAAGTCATAATTGGTTAAATTTTTTTAGCAATTTTGTTATAAAGAAGGGAATTTGATGTTTAGTTTTATATTATCTAAATTTTGTTTGAAAGTATTAAAAAGAACAAGAATTCAAGAATTAATTGAATAATTTGCTTTGTGGTGATTGATATATATCAATAACAAAAACTTTCCTTGTTATTATTATTACGAAGATACGAGAATGTCAGTTTAATGTTTGCATAATATTGAGAATTTTAAAATTTATCCTTTACCATCGGCATATCTACATTTCATTATTATTTTGTCTTTAATGATACTTGTTGTGCGTGAAATTCAAATTAGCCAATCAGAATTGTGTATTCAAACACCCACCCCAAAATTTAATTTTCACGCACAAAAGGAAAATGTTTCATTAAAAATTCGCATTCCATGTGGTTTATTATAGCAATTATATATATTTGAGGTAATTTATTAGCTCTCAAATAAAGTAGTAGTAATTAATATTTAAATAGACTGTGACAAAGAGGGTTGAGGATCAATTGTCACAAAGGTTTTTCTTTTGATTTGGTCACGAGCACTTGAACGAGTCATACCAAAAAATTTGCTGCCGTTTATGTGGAGTTGAAGAAATGTTTCTTGAGCCGAATTAAGCATTTCTTTTTTTTTTGCAGTATCCTGAAGTATATTGTGTGTAATATTTTTTCTGCAAATATTATGCGTTGGGATATTGTTTATCAGTCAAATCTCTTTCAAATTAGACAGTATCAGTATGCATAATACTTATTTTTCTAACTGTTTAGCGAAAATTTGTTACGCAGGAAATATTTCAAGGATGGGTTTAAATGTCCTTTATATATGTTTTCTTCAGATATCTACTCGGGTATCTATCTATCTACTTAGATCTCAAGATTTGAAAAATCGGTTCCTAAAATTCATTTTGCATGGTCTTAGTATTTATTTTATCACTTTGGTTATGTAATTTATTATTTAATAAATATATACCGAATAATAGTATCAACTGCTTAGATTGTACGTAAAGAAAGAATTTTGCCCAAAGGTTTAGTCGTAAATGGGACAGAAAGACCTTTAATCTGTGGCTTCTTAATATTCAAATAAGGGATTGAT